GGGGGCATACTGAGCACTAGCCTTAGCAAGGTCGCGGACGATACCCGCGTTGATACTGAAGAGATCATCCCTGGTCATACCAGGCTTGCGAGGAACCCCAGCAGTAATGATGACAACGTCAGAGCCTTTGAGAGCCGCCTCGATCTCCTCCATACCAGCGTAGCCCTTCACTTGGGCGGGTGTGTTGATGTGACTTACATCCGCAGCAACACCGGCAGCAGGAGTACGAGCTTGAGGAATATCGTACAAAGCCAACTCGGTAATCATTGGGTTCATCTTCAACAACAGAGCCAGCGGCTGACCAATACCACCTGAAGCACCGAGCAAGGCAACCTTAGTCGACATTTACTCCGACAGAACTACGGGTCTGAACTGCGAAGGAAATCGTACGGCAATTTCTTAGCCAATGAGCAATCGCACTCCGTCATTTTCGCCCGCGCCCGCGTGCAGATGGACCTGCGTACATCACTGATGAGTCACTAAGCCTGCCTGTTCTCCCTGCGTGCTGAAGGCCGAGCCGACGCTGAAGCAACCTCACATGGTAGACGTCAACAGAAAATTGATTTTCTATTCGAAATTCCTTCTGTATCCCGAGAAGCAAAATACTATCCCAAGGAATCTATAGAAAGCTTGTTCATGCGTGCAAAATCTTCTCATCAACCATGTATGCGGGAAGGAACTTGTGGTAGGAGTCTGTGTTTTACCCTGTGCGGTATCCCGCCTCCTCTAGCTCTGAGACTTCACTGTGTGTTAATCAACTCTGTCCAGCCATTATTAGCTAACTTCGATGGGTGTTCGTGCAACTCTGCCTGTGCGGGTTGCTTAGATAGACAGGTTGCCGCGAGCCGAAAGATCAATCTGCGAGAACAGACCCCCTTACAAGGCAGGCGCGTTTGTGGACTCTTTTGAGAATTACCGTTAGCACTCCTGCCAACCCTGTTGGCCGCAGCTGAGTATTATCTGATAGCTGTGTCCACCTTTAGATTGCGTTGCCAAGGGTCACTAGCATCGACTACCTTAAGTATCAGTCGATGACCCGATCACGACTCCGAGTAGATCCGTCCACAAACATCAACGCGGCTCTACGCCACATGCAGCACATAGCATATGTCTCCGTCCAACTGAAGGACGAGGCCCCGATCGGGATGCCATGATCTCTTACAGAGTTTAGGTTTCGGGCAGATGTCAGTATCCCTTCTCAGTTCTCTTACAACACCATCGAGTCCGCGT